TGCCTCCTTTGGGAAGCTTCTCCTTCATGTATGCCCTCTTCCAGAAAGATTGCTCTCCTATTAGGTTACACACATGTGCTCAGTTTTATTCTGTATTGATTTGCTTGTGTTAAACGCAATACTGTGAAAACCCTCATCCATAACTGTAGCGGGTCTGGTCTCTCTCACCCGTGGGGCCTTTTTGTCATACCCTGGCAGTCACGAAATGTCACTGCTGCAGCCAGTGTCACTCAACCAAGCATGTAGCCAGAACAGGGCATTAAGGAAACAGGAAGCCAGATGTTCCTTCAGGGAGTGGTGGGGTGGTAACTAACAAACAGAGGCCTAGGTGCTAGGACACAAATCCAACTCCAGTTGACAGGAAAGCAGTGAAGCCAAGTAGATCTTAAAATCCAACATTCCAGGTACCTAGAGCAAATCACAGACCACTAGACTCAGGTGCGTCATGGACTGTATGACAGATGTAGAAAACAGAGGCCTCTCCTCTGTTTTGTAAGGACAACAAAAGGAGGACAATGTGATGTCTGCCTACCCTGCTGCACATCTCCGTATCTACAGGAAAACAGTTGGTATCTGAATGTAGGAATCAGAGGGATCCAGAGTGAAACAAAGAGGTTTCAATCATGCCTGTAATTCAAGAGCCCTGGGAGACTAAGGTAAAAGGCTTGCAAGTTTGAGCCTAGCCTAGCCTTTAGTGACTTAGTAAGACCCTGTCTCAAAATAAAAAATGGCCTAGGCTGTAGCTCAGTGAAAAGGTCTTGGATTCAATCCCTAGTATTGAAAAATGATAAAAGAGGTTTCAGTCATTAAAAAGCAAAGTTCATCATTCCAAGTGTGATAACAAATACTTACAGATCCATTATTTTTCAATATATCTATACTGATTAGAAGATAAAGAAGCCAGATCTGCTGGAAAGATATGGATTTTAGACAGTGTGTATGAGTGTTTAAACTTAAACTTATCACAGTTTTAGGAAGGTCTCCTCATTATTTTATACCCACTATTTCTTCAATTATCTTTATAATATCACATGGGAAAGGCAAGGTCTGAAAAGTCAACAGGGTGAGGAGGGGTCAGATGCCTATATAATGGTCAAACTAGGGCTTTTCCTGTGAGGCTATCAGATGTTGTGCTCTGCTCTTGGCCTCTGTGACACCTTGTGGTCCCAGTTCTACTTTGTGGCTGCTCATTCTTGGTTCTTTCTGCTGGGTCATCCTCCTCTACCTAGACCACAAACACCAAAGTCCTCAGGCTTATTCCTTGGGTCCTTATCTCTGTATGCTTCTGCTATGATTTGAATTTGTACCTCAAATGTTCATGTGCTGGAAGCTTGACTCTCAGTGTGCTGAGGTGATGGAACCTTTAAGACATGAGGCCTGGTGGGAGGTAATTAGGTCACTGGCCTATCACCCTTGGAAGAGATCAATGTAGTTCTTGGGGACTTGATTAAAAGAGCAAAACCTGGCTCTTGACTCTAGATTTCCTGTTGTGCCTTGTAATTTCCTGTATATGTCCAACCCAGATGGGGCTGCCTGATCTTGGACTTTCAGTCTAAAACTGAGAGCTAAATAAACCTGTTTTTATGAAGTACCTAGCCTCAGATATTCTGTTATAACAACAGACACTATTACTTCTCTTAGGTTATAGACACTGGGTGACCTTCAGTCACATAATTTTAAGTATCATCTATATGTGCCCTGTCCAAAAAGAGTAGCCACTTATGACCTGTGGCTATTTAAACTGAAATTAATTAAAATAAAACAGTTCTTCTGTCATACAACTACATTTCATGTGCTCAATTTCCCATGAGGTTGGTGACTATCACACTGGATAACACAGACAGAAGATTCCCATCATCTTAAGAAGTTCCATTATGCAGCGGTCATCTGTTATTGATGACTTCCTGATCTATACTTTCAGCTTGGATCACTCATCTGAACTCCAGACTTGCTATCCAGTTTCCTTCTTGACATTACCATCTGCATATTTCATATATTTTGACTTAACATGATTTGAAACACAACTTTTTCTCCTTAAAATGTTTACTAATCCTCTCCAGACTGCTTCATAGATGGCAAAGCACCCAATGTAAGCATGCTTTAAAAATTTAATATACTCTGTGGTAGTTAATTTTATGTGTCAACTTGTCTCTACACGGTATCCAGATATCTGGCCAAACATTATTTTAGATGTTTCTGCAAAAGGTATTTAAAAAACATTTAAATCAGTGAATTCTAGGTAAAGCAGATGATAACCCTCCATGATGTGAATGGGTCTAATCCAGTCAAAGACCTTCTTAGAGAAAGATTAACTTCTTCCAAAAAGAAGTAAATTTGCCAATAGATGGCATGCAGATTTGAAGTATCAACTCTTCCCTGAATCTCCAACCGTCAGAGTACCCTACAGATTTTAGACTTCCCAGCTTCTATCATTATCAAGCCAAGTGCTTAAAATCTCACCTCCCTTCTACCCCCTATTAACACCCAATGGTTGTGCTTCTCTGAAGAACCTTAACTTCTTGAAAATTTAAATCATTTTATTCATTTATTATCATTACCATGACTATTCCATTTATTATCATTACCATGACTATTCCCTTTATTATTTAATAATAATGATAATGACTATTTAAATCTTGATATGAGATAATCAAAACAGAACTGTTAAACTTCTCTTTGCCTTTCTCATTGAAAACAGTCCTGTCAAGTCGGGCCGTGGTGGCACACGCCTGTAATCCCAGCACTTGGGAGGCTGAGTCAGGAGGACTGCTGAGAGTTCAAGATCAGCCTGGGCTACATAGTGAGTTCCAGGTCATTCTCAACTACATAGTGAGATAGTGAGATCCTGCCTCAAAACAAAACAAAACAAAAAAACCCCACAACAACAACAACAACAAAAGTCCCGTCAGATCAGACATCTGAAAGTGGTCTTTGACTCCTTCCTCTTCTCCCTCCTCCTATAACCAACTTGTTGCCGATGAGTCTACATCCAAGACATATTTTGAAACCTTATGTATCTTTCCTATTGCTACCACTCTAGTCCCAGTTAATGGATGAAGCCAAAGACACTGAGCTTTCCAAATTACTTTTGCAAAGGCCTAACTCAGAGCTCCCCTTCATTTTTGTTTCCCTTACAATTTCTTTTTCACATAAAGGTCAAGAGCTTTTTAATAAATATTAATCAGCTCTCCACTGTTTAAAATTATGCATGAAGCAGAACGTAAACTTATCAGAGCCATCCTCAGAAGGGAGCTAGGTATGGCTCTCTCTATCTGTCCCCTGGCATCACAGGCTACTCTTCTCTTCCCACCAGAACCTAGTGCCTTCCTTCCCCCATGTCCTTGCCAGCGCCCAGTTTTCCCTTGCTTGTGCTGCTCTTTTGCCCTAGAAAGCATCATTAGTGCTTTGCATGAAAGCCTCCTTCACTCTCAATCTTCAGACAGTAGCCTGAGTACAACCTCCTTAGTCTCTAACCTAACTTGGATCTCTGGCAGCTGGGGGTGTAGTTCAATGGTAGAATGCCTGCATGTCATAAGCAAGACCCTTGGTTCCATCTTCAGTACTGTATAAATAAATACATAAGATCCAACTATTTAGTCTCACAGAATTGTTTATCTCTTGGCTCCTATAATTATTTATAATTTTACTTGCTATAAATTACTTCACATGTTTATTGTCTGTCAACCACATAAGGGCACACAAACATGCCTTTGTTGTTCAGTGTTGCCTAGGTACCATGGGTGGCAAGAAACTGTTAAGCAGATGAGTACAGGGCCCAGCATGGTACTTCCTAAAGCATACTCTATGGAATATGACTCTGTAGGATGCTATAGGTCAGGAGTTGGCAAACTACTGCCCACAGGCCAAATCTGGCCCACATCTTGTATTTATAAATAAAGTTTTATTGGAACACATCCGTGCCCACCCATTTACATTTAGTTCATAGACATTTTAGCTTGATAGTAGAGTTGTGTATTTGTGTCGGAGACCAACTGAGTCACAAAGCCAGCTATTTGGCCCTTAAAGGAAAAGTTTGCCAACTTTCATTTTTGGTGGTGCTGGGGATTGAACCTAGGGCCTTTGTACTAAGCTACATCCCTAGGCTTTTTTTATTTTGAGACAGGGTCTTGTTAAATTGTCCAGACTGGGCTTAAAGTTGTGATATTCCTGTGTCACCTCCTAGAGTACTGAGATTATATGTGTCCACTACCACATCAGCCTACCAACTTTGTTATGAGTTATTACAGTAAAGCTGAAACAAGTCAAAAGATTCTGTGGATATGATATACACTGCATTAAACAAAGTCACATACATTTCTTTAATGTTGAACATCCTGAAGTCTTTAATATGCAACTAAAAATGTGATACACAGTTTCCATTTTTTGAGCAGGGAATCATTTTGATGGCATTTGCTGGTTATTTGGAATAGACTGCTTTATTTTTTATTTCTGCAACCCTGGAGAATCAAACTCAGACCTTATGTATGCTAGGCAAATACTAATTGAGCTGTACTCCCAGCCCTGGAATTAACTTTGAAAAATCTGGCTAAGGTTTTCAAACCATGAATATCAGATTCCTTCAGGGATTTCTCTGGAAAATGTGAGGCAAGAACTTCTTAGTGGCCACAGTAAACTGGCCTACACTGTGTTTTCCTAGGTAACAAGGGAGGCTGAGGCAGAAGGATCACTGAGACTTTGAGGCCAGCCTGGGCTACACAGTGAGTTCAGGGCCACTCTGAACTATAAAGCGAGATCCTGCCTCAAACAAAACAAAACAAAAACAATTTATCCTAGGTTAACTAGGGGTATGTATTGAGAAGGGAAGCTGAAAAGTATTTACTGAGGACGGGACCCCAAGGTGCAGTTAGTAGTTACCATGCTGGTATCAACAGCCTAATGTCTATTCTAGCTCTATAAATGTCACCCCTATTGGGATGTATCAACAGAATTAGGACTTCCCCTTGCGTTTCTAGAGAAGAACCAAGACAGCTGCGACTTACTTTTTCCTGACTGTTCAATTCCTGGTAAGGGATGTGGGCAGGCAGGTAGGTGTGGAGCAGAGCACAGAAGGCCAGGCCATCACTCCAACTACTGCTGAAATTGGTGATGTCAATGTTCTGTGGGGAGAGAAAAAGTGGTATTAAATCCCCAAATTGTGCAGCATCTCGCTCTCTCTCTCTCTCTCTCTCTCTCGTTTTTGGTACGGCAACATGAGCTACATGAAAAAACTACCCAAATCTGTGGGCAGTACATTTAATTTTGGTACCAGGAATAGCCTGGTGTTCAAATCTGCACAGGGTAGCATGAAGAAAGGTGTCAGCACCCAAAACAGTAGTGAATTCCAGTCTAACCCCTCCCTGGGTGACTCACTGAAGGCTGAGATATCTCATTTCAAATTAACCCCACTAATTAGCTTTGCATATCCCAGCATTCCTCAGATTCATCTGGCCAAGGAAAAATCATCATTAACATTACCACTGTCATCACCACCACTATCATCGTCATGTAGAATCCAATCAATAAATAGACTAAGACTGAATAAGAGCATTAATCCCCTCAGAATTGCTTCTGTTTCTAGACTCCCTCTCTCAACTGGAGAGGCTCCTTAGAAGAAAGAGAGAATCTTTCAAGGCTTAACAGTCTCTGTTAGCACATCAAACCTGTTAAGCTCCTCCTCTAAAGGTGGGGCTCCTGGAGGTCGCTTGCTATGCAGTCATAAAGAAACTAAAATGTAACTTTAAAGAGACACCCAGGCAGATCCTTAGGCTAGCTGGAGGTTCCAGAAGACCTCTTCTTCTAAGACCCTCACACCTTCCCTGCTTAACCTCATAGGGTTTCTTTCCCTGTATTCACAAAGCTTGCCCGAGATTCACTGTCAAGTTCCAAAGGCTATGAATGCTTTTTTCATGCTTAAGCGGCTTTTAATGCAGTGGTTGCTCCAATGTACTATTAATAGCATGTGAGAGGGGCCTGCATGACTGCAGTAGTAAGGCCCAGTGATGACTGTATGGACTGTAAGTCTGTTCTGAGCAGTTTTAGGGAAGTAAGAGAAATTGGACATGGCTCCTTCTTGCAATCTCTTCATAGCTGCTGGGGTTTGAGGGAGGAAGGGGGCAAGGAGGCCCTATATCAGAATACTCTGACTCAGGGAAAGGGGAACCAAGAAAGTCTGGAAAGGTGAAGGGCAATGGTTGTTGGCTTCTTCTGATGGAGTGAATGTTGACAGCCTCTTCCTCCCTCTGTCCAAATGACCAAAAGCAACACTACAGCAGGTCAGCTCCCTGACTGTCCTAGAGAGGCTGTTTAGAGGGTTTCTATCAAAGCTGATTTGTAGCTCAAAAGAAGGGAGAAGTAAAACATGGCATGAAGTCAGGTTGGAATAAGGAAAGGAGATTATGGAATTCATCTCAATGTGGGTATAACATAATTTTGGAGAATATACATAGATGAAAATACATAATAAAATATGGTATAATGTTTTCTGGGAAGCTTCCTTAGCTTCTTAGTTTTGAGAGTAAACTGTCTATGACTTTATTTGGGTTTTTAATCTACATTTTCCCACCCAAGAGTAGTTCAAGCTAGCTGCCTCTTAGCAATGAAGCTGGAAAACACTTCACTTGACAGATGAAGAAATCGAGGCTGACAGTGGTACACATATCACACATACAGCTTACCTGAATGGTAGAGACCCTAGGAACCCACATCCTCACCTTCTAAAACCTCCTCTGGCTTCTAGCCAGAGTCCAGGATGATCCTGATGAGCCCCAGAGATTCCCCCCAAAACACAGGCTGTCAGATGTGTCCATGAGTCTGCTTTGCAATTACATTCATTCAAAGGATATCCAGCTGAAAGCAACACACCACCATAATAATGCCTCTTCATTCTGGTTAACATAACTGAAGCACAACTGATGGGTGATTAACTGCTAAGCATCCATATTACATAGAAGCCTGAGGAGGCCCTTATTGTAAGGGACCCCCCTTTGGTTTTCAGGTCAACTATATAATAGCTAAGACCACTAGGAAGCTACTCATTTGGATTTTTAGCTTCAAAGCCCTTTTGGGTTCAGCAGCTACTGATGAGGCCTAGATACTGCATCAGAGAAAGGACACCCTTTGATTTTGTGCTTTCTGAAGAGGTCTGTGTATTTTAAAAAGCAGAGGACAGAAATAGGTGAGAGGACATGATCTATCTAGCTCACTTACAAACCCTGGGAAGAGAAACACAGGAGAAAGAAGAAAAACAGCCTTGTCCACTACATAGCATTTCAGTACATACTAAATCTAATTCCCTTCTTTCCTTTCTTTGCCACACACAGGTTGCTTGAGCTCCCATCTTCAAACCCATCTCTCACATGAATGTGATGTGGAGGAGTAAAAGCCAGGCTTTATTTTCAAAGGTTGCGTATTCTTGTGTATCATCTATAATGACACCGATGGCATCTGAGTCAATGGGGCCAAGCACAGCAGCATGCCTGTAAGTGCTCCTTGAATCTAGGGAAGTGTGAACAAGAAGGCTGAGATAACAGAGAAAAGATTTCAGAGATCCAAGTAGTACATTAGAAACAACAGAGCTGAGTGGAGAAATAGCCTCTCCAAGATTTGATGTCCACGTGCTGGAATATAGCAACGTGAGGAGGATAAAGAGAGAGGTGGGTTCCCAGGACCCAGCAAATATCTGAAGCAAGAAGTGAAGCCCACAGGGAGAGCAAAGAGAGAGACTTCACTGAAGAAGGAGGTGGCAAGCAGTGCTCTCTCCTTGAGCCTTGACACACTGTACAGGAAAGGCAGCTCAAACCTGCAGTTGCATGGTTACTACCAGTGACCCCAGAGGCCTCCATGGAGAAATGCACCACAGGAATGGAGGAATGGACATAGCAGACTGCAGTGGCTGGTGAGTTACCTGGGTTCAGATGACCCCCAGGAGAGGGTGATTCTGGGAGAGAGAGGCCAACTGAGCTTGGAATTCAGAGCAGCTGCAGGCTGGCTCTATTTAGGTGAGGCAGAACTGAGTTCAAGTTGAACTCAAGAGGTAAAGAAGCCAAGTTCAAGCCAGTAGGAATCACATGGAATGTGGCTAAACAAAATGGGTTCCAGCCTCACAGCCAGAAACCAGCCTGAGCTTCAGAACAAAAGGTGCGAACTTGCTGGGATTATCCCCTACTTCATTGTTAATCTATGGCTGGCTTGTTGGGATCAATCAATAAAGACCTGAACTCTGTCTGCTCACTTGCTCTACCAGTGACACCAGAAAGACACCTTGAAGGGGCTTTTTGTTGGGGGGGGTGGTATCAGGGATTGAACTCAGAACCCTGCACCGAGCCAAATCCCTGGCCCTTCTTCTCTTGCTTTTGTTTTGTTTTTTCTTGTTTTTATATGTGTGAAAACTGTTTCTAGTTTTTTGTTTTGTTATTATTGTTCATGCTAAAATCAGGAACAAGACAAGGATGTCCACTATCACCACTACTGTTCAATATAGTTTTGGAAACATTAGTCACAGCAATCAGACAAGAGAAACAAGCAAAAAGAATAAAACTAGTAAACAAGGAAGTTAAATTATCATTATCTGCAGATGACATACTCTCTATAAAAGACCAAGAACGCCACCAAAAAGTTTTCTAGACTCAATAACCAAATTTTGTAGAGTAGCTCAATACAAGAGCAACACACAAAAATCAATAGCTTTCTTGTACACAAACAACAGACTCACTGAGAGAGGAACAGGAGGAACAACTCCTTTCATAATAGCATCCAAAAAGAATGAAATACCTAGGAATTAACCTAACGAAAGAACTCAAAGATCTCTACTCTGAAAACTGTAGCATTCTAAAAAAAAGAGACTGAAGATGGTATCAGAAAATGGAAAAACACCCCTTGCTCCTGGGTAGGAAGAACCAATATAGTTAAAACGGCCATACTTCCAAAACTTCTACATAGATTCAATGCAGTCCACTTGAAATTCCAATAGCATACTTCACAGACCTTGAGAAAACAATCCAAAATTTCATTTGGAACAAGAAGAGACCTAGAATAGCAAAAGCAATTTTAGGCAACAAAGACAATCACAATCCCCAACCTGAAACTATACTACAAAGATACTGTGATAAAAACAGCATGGTACTGGCAAAGGAACAGACCCCAGGACCAGTGGAACAGATTAGAAGATGTAGAAACAACTATACACAGACATACTCACCCACACCTCACTTTGACAAAGGAGCCAAACATCCTCACTGGAGGAAAGATAGCCTCTATTAAAAATAGTGCTAGAAAAACTGGATTTCAATTTGCCAAAGATGAAAACTAGACCTGTATCTCTCACCATGCACTAAACTAAAATTGAAATGGATTAAAGATCTAAACATTAAAACAAAAACACTAAACTGGCTGGAAGAGAGGTTAGGTAGAACTCTGGAAGACATTGGTATAGGAAAAGATTTTATGAATAAAACCTCAGTTGCACATGAACAAGCACAATCAACAAGTGGAATCTCTTCTTACTAAAAAGCTCCAGCATAGCAAGAGAAAACAACAACAGTGTGAAGAGACAACCCCACAATGTGGAAAAAAAATTTTTACCAGCTGTTCCTCAGACAAAGGTCTACTATCTAGAATATATACAGAACTTCAAAACAAAATCAGACTTCTCAAATTTAAAGACCCTATCCATAAATGGGCATCTGAAATGAACAGACATTTCTCAAAGAAGTAGAAATAGCAATTAAACATATGAAAAAATGTTCAACATCACTGGTCATTTGAGAGGTTCAAATGAAAATAATGCTGAGATTTCACCTCACTCCAGAAAGAATGGCTGTTATCAAGAAATCAACCAATAACAAATGCTGGCAGGGCTATGGGGAAAAAGGAACCCTTCTCCACTGTTGGTGGGAGTGTAGACTAATGCAACCACTGTGGAAATCAGTATGGAGATACTTCAAAGAACTAGGATTGGAAGTCCCATTTGATCCAGCTATTCCCCTACTGGGTGGGTATCTTCCCAAAAGAATTAAAAGAATCATACCACAGTGGTATATGCTCACTCATGCTCATAGCAGCACAGTTTATTACAGCTAAAAGTTGTAAACAGCCCAATTGCCCATCAACTGGAGACTGG